CAGGTCCGGCGACGACGCCTCGTCCGAGTCCAGGCCGTCGGGGCCGTCCAGGGCCAGCGCGTCGTCCAGGGAGCGCAGCACCACGCTGGACCGCTTGCCCGGGTACGGCGTGGACGACATCAGCGACCGCGGCGTCAGCGGCTCCAGCAGCACCGACGGGTCCATGCCCAGCTCCTGCAGCTCGGACTCCACCGTGGCGTCCACGCGCAGCCCCAGCGCGTTCAGGGTGCGGGGCTTGGCCTCCGCCTCCTGCGAGGGGGTCTTGTCCTTGCCGGCGTCGCCGCCAGGCCCCGATGCAGGCGGTGCCGCGCTGGGCGTGTCCGCGGAGGGCGTGTCCGCGGAGGGCGTGTCCGCGGAGGGCGCCGCGGCGGCGGGCTCTTCCTCGTCGCTGGCATGGCCGCCGCAGCGCAGGCACTTGAGCATGGCGACGACGGGGGCTACACGCCCGGCATGTCACTGCTAGTCACTGCGTCCTGCAAGCATCTCGCCCGCCTTGTTTCCAGGGGGCTGTCGCCAACATCAACACTTCGACGCCCTCTCTGCGCGCCTGTTGGCTTGGCTTGGCTTGGCGTGGCGTGGCGCGGCTTGGCGAGGCGCCCTGTCATCCCGCCTCTTTGAGGCCCCCTCCCCCTCCCCCCACTCGATCACGTCCCACCCGCTGTCTTTCCACTGTCTTTCTTTGCCCGCTTTGCCCGTTTCGCTGCCGTTCCTTTCGCGGCCCCGCCGTGCCCTGCCACCCTGCCCCGCGGGGCTGGCTCTAGACCCAGCCCGCCTGCCTGCCTGCCTGGTGCGTACGCCCGCCCACCCCCGGACAGGATTCCACTCTCCGCGCACACGAGGTACGCGTGCGGCGGCAGCGAGGCAGGCACTCGACGCGCGCCAAAAATGCGGCATGCCCGGCATCCGATACCCCGAGCGGATTCCCCGACGATTCCCCCGACCGAAAAGGCGCACTCTGGACGACTCTGCAAACGAGCGGTCCAGCTGCGCGTCGCTACAGTGCGCTGCCGTGGCCGTGACATGGAGCCACCGCAGGCACCGCGGGTATCGGCGAGCGACGAGGGAAATTGGATTACCGTACGACGCCCCCCCCCTCCCCCGCCCCCGTGGGGCGCTTCTCCGGTCTCCGGCGGCACGGGCCGAGGGCGGCCGAGGGGCACACCTGCACACCGCCTGCGGTGCCGCCGCGCCTTCCCCCCTCCCCCTTTTCCAGCCCGGCGAGGCAAAACAGGGCGTAAACTGGCGCCAAGTTTGTGGCCGAGTTTGAGGAATCGAATCAAGGAAGGCGGCGCGCCGCGGCGGCCGGAAGGAAGGGAGGCGCGAGAACGGCGTGCCATTGTCACGCCCGGCGCCGCGCAGCAGCGGCAGCGCCCCGTCAACTTGTCCACGGAGTTGCCGCGCGTCGCCGTCCAATTAACAATTAATTATTGCCGAATAAAGCCTCGGCAAGCCGCGGGGGACCGGCGGGGACCGACGGGGGGCGCGCCGCGTCGCCGCGTATCCGTCGTGTTCGACGCGCGGTAAGGGCGCGTGGATTTGCATCCAGACCTGGAAGCCGCACAAAGCAAAGGCCAGGCAGGCGGCCCCCCTGGCCCCGCCGTGTAGTTGAGCCCCTACACCGCCAAACTACCACGCGCCCGCCTCACCCTTGAGGGGCTTCAAAAGACAGCGTGCGTGGTTTTGACTCGATCGAGGAAACTTTGCGGACCTGCCACCGGCACCGCCGGCAACAGGAGGCTGGTTCGGTACAGTGCTAGCGACGCTCCGTCTCTCTCGCACTCATAGCCTCCACTGGAGGCGCGTGAGAGAGAGCAGCGCGATGAAACGCTCAACGGAGACAGTCTATCCAGTGCCAGCCGAGTGATTCCAAAGGGTCGTTTCATCGCGCAGTCTCGCTCCCGCACCCCCTGCAGGACGCCCCATGAGTGCGACAGAGACAGAGCGACGATAGGACCGATAGGACTGGGGCTGCAGCTCGAGCGGCACGCGGCGGCGCACCTCGAGGAGAAGGGCGGGGAGCACCTCCAGCCGCCCAGCCCGCCGCCCAGACCGACCCAGGCCGCCGTACCGCCGTACCGCCTTGCCGGGGCGTGCTTGCATCTTTCATGACCAAGTTCCAGTGGCTGCTCGGCCGCGCGAGCTGCAGTCTGCAAAGTGTGTGGGGTGGGGCGGGGTACGTAACATTAGTGAGGCACTATCGTCGGGGGAAGGCGAGGTGGGTGAGGTGGGGCCCACAGACAGGGGGGGGGGGGGGAGGGAGGGGCCGCCCGACGCGACGTTCAGCAGCCCCGTCAGCCCGTCACGGGGGAGGAGTGTCGATGGCGTTCCGCCCAAAACGTGAGGCCTGTCTTGGGTTCGTTCGGCTCCATTCGCCGAGCGCGCGCGGATGGGACAGGCGACTGACATGTGAATTAAGTGGAAAAAGAGGAGGGGGGGATGGATTCAATTGCTCACTGGCAGGCGGCGTCCCGCCCGCCAGGTGCCACAACACGTGCGACAACACCGTCGTCGACGGCTCGCCCCACGGGCCGCGCCACACACGCCCCCAAAGCCCTGAGCCCCGTCGAGACCGAGTCGAGACGCTGTCGACACTCGACATTCCCGAGCCGCCAGCCAATCAGCGGCACGCGTGCACTGGCTGAGGGAAACGGAGGGGAACAGGGAATCGCGTCGTCGCAGCCTCTCTCTCAATTGAGGGGAAGATTAAGGACGAGGGCCGCGCAAGCTGCGCAAGCCGCGCAAGCCGCGCAATTGGCAGCCGCGTCTCGGCCGCCTCGGCACATGTTGCTCGCCATGTCCCTCCGGTCCGGGGTCCCTCCTCACCCGCAGCCACTCCAACTACCGCGGCGCCCAGGCCGATGCCGCGGGTCCGCGTCGTCCGCGTCCCGCCAGGGAATCGATAGCAAAGCGAGGCCAAGCCAAGAAGGCCGGGCGCCGGCGCGGTGTCAGAGCGCGATTATGGCAGACACTGCATCAGCGCGCAACACCCTTTGGCCCCAGGGGGCTGGCTCGCTCGGTTCGGCTCGGCCGGCGGGCCGCCGTTGCACCACCCCCGCCCCGCCCGCCCCCGCCACCCCCGCGGCCCGCCCCGAGGGATGGCATCGCACCTTCGGCACCTCCGGCCGCTGCCGCTGCCGCCCTCCTGTCTGCCCGCCACTTTCCCTTCCCCGCCGGCCCGCCCCGCCGTCCAAGCCACGCCGGCCACCAGCCGCCACACGCTGAGCACGCCGTCGTACCACCTCCTGGCGCCTGCTGTCGCCTCCTGACGCCTCCCGGCGTGCCGGGTCACGTGGCCCGGCCGCACAGCCGCGCTCCACGAGGTGCGCGACGATGACACGCTGACGACACGACGACGGCCTCAAGGCCCGCGGCCCGAGAGCTCCGCGATTGAGCCGCGAGCGCCGCGGCAGGCGAGGTTCGCGAGGTTCACGACCTGTCGGCGACGGTGTCGGCGACGGCCCGGCTGGTCCATGGCGTGGACGCGACGCCGCCTGCTGCCCCGCCGCGACGCCGCGAGGGTTCCAACGGCGCCGTCGTGCCCCGTCCGCGCTGCGTCCGCGGTGTGGCACGCCGTCCGACTGATCCGGGACCGAGAGCCGCGGAGGCAGCGCAGCGCGGCGCAGGGCATGGGCATCCAGTCCTCCCAGCCGAGCCGAGCGCCCAAAGTCCAGCCGGGCCGCGCGCCGCCCCGCGAGGCCGACGCGCCGAGCCGGGTCTGCTCCGCCCTGCTCATGCGTCGTGGAGGCTGGGGCTGCTGGGGCTGCTGGGGCAGGCTGGGGTCGGGCGGACGCCACCGCGAAGCGCGAAGCAGAGACAGACATGGGGCGGGGTGCGGTAGGGTGCGGGAGCGAGGGGGTGGCCGGGCAGGGGGTGGCCGGGGGTGGCGCGGCGTCGGATTGGAAGTCAGTCCGTCTGTCCGCCCGCCTTCCATCCGACCGGCAGCGCCGGCCGGCCGGCGACGCGACGCCCAGCGACGCCCACCCCGGCACCGCGACGCTCTACGGCGCTCGAGCCTCGGTCCGGGTGTCCGGGGGTGGAGCCGGCACCGGGAAGGGTGCGGAGGAGAAGGGAGGCGCTGCGACGCCGCAACGTTGCAAGAACATTATCAATTTTAGCACCCCTGCATGACGGCCGGGGGAGGAGAGCAATTTCTCTTGGGCCTGCCAATCTAGAAATGTACACGGTAATTGTCAGAAGTAGACTTTTAGAAAAATGCAGGTCCACATGCCAATGGGAAAAGGCCCAGCAAAGATGCAGGCCATTGTAATCTAATGTGCCATTTGAGATCAGAAATCAAAGGTGCCGTGCCATACTAGCTTACACTGGAAGGCTACAAATTGGTCTGAGTCACCTTCTGACGGTTCTTCTAGTATGACACAAATATTGTTGACATGTGTGAAAGCACTGGACTTATTCAGCTTCTACCATTGAAAATATCTGAGCAAACGCAAAAATTAAACTAGAGGTCTATCAGAACAGCAAACTTAGATGAGTCACTAATTATTTTTGATCTCGTTAATACTGTGTTATTGTATTTTGAAGCAAATATGGAAGATAGTACAAGGCTCTTAAGGAAAGTCTCCTGGTGTCCTTTGCTCTGGTCTATAATTAAGGACACAGTGCAGGAGTGACAAATAACAGCCACGAGGATCACAATTTTAACATGATGAAACATTGGGAGAAATTCAAGTAATACTATACTCCGATAAAAATGTATGGTTGCCTTTAGCTGGTGCAACCATACAAACCTAACCATAACCATTGAGAACAAAGAAAGGGCCTTAAAAGGAAAAAACATAAAACAAGTTACGGGAAACTTCAGAAGGAAATAACGAGAGTAATCACGAAGTTTCCAGTTCGTAAAAAGAGGGCATCCGACGATAAAATACGCCAAACAGGCCTTGAAAGCCGGCGCAAAGTGTCAGCACAAACTTGACAACAGCGGACGAAATGATGTCGCACCCGTCATCAAAACTATTCAACTCCTCCAGTGAACTTACCTTATTTCTGATGACCCGTCCCTGTCTTCGGCACCTCCAGAGAAGAAAAGTTTTCCCAGCTGATGTCCGTACAAAACACGAAACAGGGCGCAACGCACGAGTACGCACAGTGACAGCGACAGTACACAGTGGATACAGTACACAGTACGCAGACGCACCCACACACACACAAACACAAAAACGCACACACACCACACCACCATAAATAACTGGCCGAGCAGCCGGGAGGATTGGTGGATCGGCGCGCGTCGAGGACCCTGCCGATTTCCCAAGCTATTTACTCTCATAAATGAACGAGAAATAAGGCAGAATCAACAATAGAATCGTCCCAGAACTTTCCTGTCTCCGAAATTTTCTTTGGATGATTTATTTTTCCTGAACGAAGGAAAATGTTGATATCGTGCAAAGTCTGCCTGGTGATCAACCAGTGTAGACCCACCGACATGAAATGTTCTAACAAGCAAAGGAAATATTTTTAAGTTTTAAATGGTGTCAAACTAGATAAGTAGTTCATTACTTATCTTTTAATAGGTATTTGAAAGTTTTCGCGTCTTCATTTGACTGATTCGCTTCTAAATCGGCTGAGAAAAGCGTCAGGTTGGTGGCGTCGTGTTGGCAGCGCTCGCGGGCCCCGTTGTTTGCCCCCACCACCGCGCCGCGCCGCAGCCCCCTACGCCGCCGCGCCGCTCACACAACAAGAAGCAAAAGGGCTGGCGGCGGTATGGCGTCCCTCTGACCATGGGGGGCGGGAGTTTCCTTTGTTTATTTAGACTATGAAGACTGTTTTCTGCGACTGTTGGAGCCTTGAGAATGTCGACCGTGCCACTGAAGATGAACCTGCAGCAAACGTGCCGCCTGTGCCTGGGCCAGGGCGGCGTCCTTTCGCCGATCTTCGCCGAGTCCGTTGGGGGTGGCGAGGGCCGCCGCCAAAGCGCGCCCCAACCCCAGCCTGCCCAGCCGACTCTACCGTCGCGGATTATGGCCTGCGCCCCGATCCAGGTGAGCCTTTTCCTTCGCCCCGAGGGGCCTCCGGCCGCGGCGCCGTCCTCGCAACCCCAGACGGGGCCCTGCTTGGCCCCTTCCATTCACTTTCATTCAATATGGGGCTCTGAAAGGGAAAGGGCTTCAACCCCCTTGTTGTTGACCTAGGCCGCCTTCAGCGCGTCGCTCAACAAATTCTCGTCCATTTTCTGCGGCCGTGTCGCGTTCGCGTTCGGACCCGTTCCCTCCCTTTCTGCCGCGATAGTTTTGATTCATAATTTTGGGATTGTTCGCTCTGGACCGCGAGGTTTAGTGGGAAGGGCTCGTTGAACAGTGAGTCATGTCAATTAGTTTAGTTGTTGTTGTTGTTGGCGGCAGCTGCACATCTGTCACCCGCACGCGTCCGTAACGGTTTTCTTTGTTAAGTGTTGAAACTATATTTCTTTTGTATAAGTTTCCTTGTCTGTTTCTTTTACTAAATATTGAATGTTTAAGATATTTACTTTCATCAGACTTCATGAAATTTGATTTAAGGAAGAACAAAGGCTGACACAAAAGGGGGCCCCTTTGTCTTACCCCTACCGCAGGGCATGTTTCTCTACCACCCTTCCATTTAATTTTTCTTTCCATCAAAATGATTTTATGAAGTTTTAAATACTATTATAAACATATTCATTTTTAATAATAAAATGAACTAATTATGAAAATATTTCTGCACAGGTCTTAGAAGGAGATAGTCTCCCAGCACAGATCTGTCATCGGTGTTTGTACCAAGTGGAGCGATCTTATGACTTCAAAGAGCAGTGTGAAACTTCTGACAAAGTTCTTCGTCAATATGTGGCACAGCTGCAAGACAAATCTCTGAAGCCGGTAAGAAAAATTCCAACTTGTTTAATTTGTGATTTAAATGACCCCCATGACTAACACATTTTTCTTTAAATTTTAGGAAAGTTGTGTAAATTCCCAAGATGTTCCCTCAGTGGTCAAACTAGATAAAAAGGAGAGTGGTAATGAAAATGTACATGTAGACTTGTCTTTTGTGAGTATTTCCTCAGAAGGTTGTAAATTATTATGCTCTAATTTTCTTGAATATGTTTTTTAATTTTTCAATATTTATTCCACCAGGCCAAGTCATCTGAGTTTCTTTTATCAAAAGAGATAAAAGTCAATGTTCTACAGTCAAAACTCTCGGCCTTAATTCATCAAGCTGCTGTAGCACCAGAAGAAGACGTCGATTCAGGTCTCTTGGAATCCCTAGCAGATTCTGATGACCTGCAAATAGTTGGAAGTGAAGGCGATAACATGAATATTGGGGAAGGTGAGGGTCACAACTTAGCTAAAATGCAAGATGACGTGTCTGACAAGTCTGAATCAGATGAGGAAATTCACTTGCGCTGCAAAATGTGTAAAGATACTTTCCCAGATGTTGATGTTCTGGAGCTCCATCAAGCTGCACATGAAGCAAACGGACCTCCTTACTCTTGTTCAATTTGTCTGAAAGTTTTCACAGAACGATGCAATCTTGATGCTCATTGGCTTATCCATAGTGGAGAAAACCCACTTCTTTGTCCAGTTTGTGAAACTGCATTCACTGACTCCGCTTCACTCGAGAGTCATCTTGAATGCCATGACATAAGTCTTCCATATTTTTGTGTGACTTGTGACAAGTCTTTTGCTAACCGAACAGAGCTTCAAAATCATGTCATTGTCCATTCAGTAGTCCATTCTTCCAAATACAGAATTCTTCCTAAAGAATTCTCTAGAAGCTCGAAACACTTCAAGGCTCTTAATGGGCAGAAGCAATTTTGTTGTAGTGAATGCCCTAAAATGTTTAAAACCAAAGGAGATTTGCATCGACATGAAATTATTCATACTGGTCAAAAGCCCTTTTCTTGTAGCGTGTGCAATTTGTCCTTCAATCGCAAAGATAAACTGACTCGTCATGAAAGGCTTCATTCTTCAGACAAAGTGTTTGCTTATGTTAAATCTGATGATGCCACAAAGCTTAACTTGTTATATACTTCTGTTTCCAATGGAGAAGAGGAGCCATTCCAGGAAGAAGCGACTGACTTAAGTATGCCGTCTAAGAAAGAAACCCCTTTGAACACCCAGTCTGATAGTATGGATTTGAATGATGATGAGAGCACAATGGACACAGAGTCTGACAACCAACTGCAGATCTGCGAAGACCCCATCGACGAAGGCATTTCAGACGGACATGGCAGTGAGAAGCTGGATGAAGCTGGTGAGAAACAATCTGGTGTGGAATCAATGGTCATTAGTGTTGATCCATTTCAGATGGAACGAATAGATGCAAGTATGAAGCACTCGGATCTACCCTCAAATTTCAGCTTAAACTCTGTGAAGTCAGAATTTGAGAAGGAGGAGTATTCTCCAAATGAAAACGATGTGGTGGAAAATATTCAAGAAAATACTAAGCCATATGCATGTGAATTCTGCCCCAAAAAGTTTGCGGATAAGAGTTACATGAAAACTCACCAGCTAACTCATTTAGGAATCCGTCCACATGCTTGTAGTTATTGTGGCAAGGGTTTCTTCCGTAGACGTGAGCTCCTTCGTCATGAAGCTGTGCACACAGGCATAAAGCCCTTCACTTGCAAGACGTGCAACAAAGCTTTTGCCCGGTCAGACAAGCTCATGCGTCATGAACGGACTCACGGAGAGCTCAAAAACTTCTCCTGTACTCAGTGTCCTGCTGTATTTTCTCGGAAAGATGAGTTATCGCGTCATGGGATGTGCCACACTGGGGAACGTCCACATTGTTGTTCTCAGTGCTTCAAGTCTTTCTTTTCTCGGGCTGAGTTGACCAGACATGAGAAAACTCATGCTGGCCTGAAACCCTTTAAGTGTGATTACTGCGATCAATCCTTCCATCGCCGTGACAAATTGAATCGACATGCTCGCACCCACATGATGCCTGCATCCTTGCCTTCTGAAACCAATGTTCTTGGAACTGTACATCTGCATGATCTTTTGGCTGCACATTGCGGCCAACACTTTGCTTCTGAGGTCCGTGTCAAAGATGAAAAGGGAGAAGCTGGAGAAGATGTGAAAGTAAGGGTTGATGGCTCCATAGATGCAAGGGCTCTCGCTCGTCTTAACCAAAACCCAGATATACATCTCATTCCTTTAAAGCAGAACTAAGGTTCTCTGCTAGTAACTATTAAAACATTCCAATTTTCTTAGTCACTCAACCTTATTTATGATTTGAGCATAGGTGTGTGTCCTCAAATTTGCTTTGCAAGTATGGGGTGATTGTATTGTACTTTTTCTTTTAGTACTTTTAGTCAGTTAATTTCTTGGTTCATTGTCCTACTATGAACTGGTTTAATTTAGTAATTTACTGCACCAAAGTAATCTCTCTTGTGAAGACTAAAGTGTCCAAGAGCACACTCTCCAAGACTAGTCCACAGAATGCATTCATTCACTCTAGCAATTAAGTTGTATACGTAAGGAACAAAACATTTGTGTCTTTGAGCGTGCATTGAAAAACTGTTAAATGCAGGCTCTGTGATAATGATACTTGCAGGGAACTGTGAGACATTGATGCTTAAAGCATCATGTTCCTTATTTTTCCCATTGTTGACTGTATCAGTCTCACAGGAAGCAATGTGACATGTGTATTTTTTCTATTTATTTATTTGCTTATTTATTTATTTATTCAACCATTTTGTTTTCTTTTTTCTTAGATTAGGATTGCTAGTATCGACTTGATGATTTAGTTTTGTAAAGGAATTGGACACAGTGCATTTTTGTGCATAGTATGTGTTCAATGTTCTTCAAAGAAGAAATCTTGATACGTTCTTATGTTCTGTATGTTGTCTTACATTCCAATGTTTCTTATTGTGCTCAAATATGAAAACTTGTTCTGATCTCTTGAAGTTGAGGGAGATTTGAATAAGTGCCTCACCAAGACTGCCAGTATTAGATTATCAACCTTGAGTGATTAGGTGCCACTTGACCTACCTTTACTAGAGGTATGTCCTGCTCTTGCCGATAAAAGTTTTGAATGCCTTGTATCTTAAAAGTTTTAGTATTGCGGCGTCATAACAGAAAATTTTTCTGATATTTTCCTGAATGATTTTTCACTGTTCTGAATGTTGTCATTCTGAAATCCTGAAAGATTACCATTATTTATTGACTATATTTATTCAACTACATAGAAGTTGTGACTGTGCCTATTGCAAATATTTTTGATACTTGAGTAAGTCTTAAAGACAAATCACTTATTCTCTAATAAGAACTATTTTTTATACACAGTTCTTTTTACCTAAGTCATGTTTCAAGGTTGTGACCATTGTGTGTCCAAAAGTCTTAACTTTTGAGTATTTGTTTTGTATTTCACACACACCAAAGATATGGTTATTATCAAAGGGTATTAGTACATGGTCCGTGCCATGTATTTTTGACATGTAATGTGCTTTCCTGTGCCTCCAATTCCATTTGTAGAATATTGCTTTCAGCAAACCAGGTTTGTGAATTGTTCATTTATATACTGGTGCTGTTAAAATGATCTTAAAGACATTCCAAGTAAGGTTGTGATCTTGCCCAAGTGTTAAAAGAACTCAAATTAACTTGTATGTACTTTGACAGTCAATTGAACATGAAAACTGATATTTTCATCTTGTATTTTATCATAGCAACTGTGTCACCATCTTGATCCTGTTTCATCTTAATTCAGGCGATGTTGCCAAAAAATCTGCCATCTTTTGTTTACATTTTTGTGAATTTAGTTCTGATCTACCTCTTCTAATGAAGCTCCTGATTGTGTGCCTTAACCACTCATCATATGGCTATTTTTTTCTGCATGAATTTTTGCTAGTCAGGTTTTGTTCATTGGGACCTGTTGCTATGACGGTAGTAGTATTATTTTTAATTTGTCTTCCCAAGTAATATTTGACTTGCATGTATATTTTTCATCACTTTAGTCTTTTAAGTTTTTCAGTCATTGGGTAAGACCCTATTTTTCTTCCCCTGTTGGCTACAGGTATTTGTCTGTCTTAGATTTGGAGCTCTAGTCGTTGAAACAATTCTTAAGCTTTCACAGAGAAGTTGTAGAAACAACTCATCCTCATTTTATTCTTTAATTTTGACCAATGTTTTTCTGCTAGGGTTTTCTCTTAGGGCCGCACTTTGCGTAATTAGGGAAGATTGGGTAAAATATCTTGTCATTTCATTGCATTATTTCCATTTGTTTTGTTTTGTCATGTGTGTTCTTTTGAAAACTTCGACTGGTCAAGTCAGTTAAGAAAGTTAAAAACATTCCATGTTTTTTGCTTATGTGTGTCCAAAGAGTCTTGTAACTTTATAGCCAAAGCTTCTAACTTCCATTTGAGTCAAACTTTTTTTTTTCTCAAATATGTGTTGTGGAGTGTACCCAAAGTTATTTTTAAAGGAACAAGTAAAAAAAAAACATCATTTTGTATAAAGTAGGAAATAAAAATTGTTTATTTTCGAATGTCAAGAAGATGTTAATGCACATGGTTGTATTGCCTGTTGATCAGAGACAAATATTTTTTTTACTCGGGTCCGAATGTTTCAAAATGGTGTGTTGTGCGTCCATGTATATAATGTACAAATTTTGGTTGTGCACAATGCAATGAGTGTGTGATGTAGTTGTAATACTTTTGTGAGCCAATAAACCACAAACAAAACTAAAATGTAGTAAGTCTTCCATTAAATTTGCCCCTTGAGAACCCCTTATCGAACAAGAAGAAAGAGATCTATGCTTATGTCAAAACACAGTGCACAGCGAAAAGAGGAACCTGGGGCATTTCAGTCTATCGCTTCGCGCGTGGTGGTAGTGGGTGGTGTGGTTTGGCAGCGGGCGCCAGCCGCACTCACTGGCCGACACAGAGGGCGAAGGTGCACACCTCCCTGCCGTTGATGCAGTTGCACGTGTTGCAGTCCTGCTTCCACTGGGTGCCGGACACGCAGCCGACTTGGCCGGGCCCGCGATGTCCTTGGGGCGGGAACTGGGAGCTGGAACAGGGGTGGAGAGGAGCACGTCAAGGCATGTCCTCTGAGGACGAGGACGGCGCGCCGCCAGGTGCTGGCCGGCTGGCCGACGGTCGGTACTCACTTCTGAGCGGCTCTAGCCACGCGCGCGTTGCCGGCCGCGGCCTGCTCGTCGGGCTTGACTAGCTTGATGCAACCGATCTTGGTGCAGGCGGGCTCCCCGGTGGGGCCGCAGCGGCAGGTGTTGCAGTCGTCCTTCCAGACGTCGCCGACGGTGCAGGGCCGGCGCTCGGCGCCCAGTGCGGGTGCGGGGACTTCCCTCTTGGTGACGCAGCGCGCCATGGTGCAGGCGGGCTGGTGGCTCGGTAGGCACCTGGGGAGCGGGAGGTAGTTAGCTCCTGACGGCGAGGCACTGCGTAGTTTTTAGCGGCGTCGCACGCGCACTCTGACGGTTCGCGGGCCCTTCACTCACCTGCAGGAGTTGCAGTCCTCCTTCCAGGTGTCGCCCGGGGTGCACTCCTCCCCTCTGAGGGCTGCGGGCGCCGCGGGCAGGACGGCGGCGCTCTCGTGGCCGCCGGTGGTGGCGGGCAGTACGTTGGCGCCCTGGTGGCCGCCGGTGAAGGCGGGCAGCAGGCTGGGGTTCTCGAGGCCCGAGCCCGCGCCGCTCGCGCCCAAGCTCAGGCACGCCATCATGGTGCAGGCTGCGCGACCGCCCGTGCACCTGCAACCGCCACTTGGTCACCACCGCGAGCACGCGAGCCGAGCCGCAGGGTCCGGCCGTCCGGCGTCACGGCCAGGAACTCGACCGACGCGTCTCACCTGCAGGTGTTGCAGTCCTGCTTCCAGGTGTGGCCCTCGCGGCACAGGTGGCCTGTGGGCCGCGAGTGGTCGGGCAGGGGCTGCGGCAGAGGCAGCCCCACGGCGGGCAGGTCGTCGCCGTCGTTGATGCAGGCCATCTGCGTGCAGATGCTCATCCCGCTGGCGGTGCAGCGACACGAGTTGCAGCGCTGGCGCCACACGGTGCCCGGGGTGCACTCTTGCGGCCGCGGGGTGGTGGGGCTGGGACACACGCGCCTCGTGCACATGGGCTGCCCGGTCTCGCTGCAGATGCAGTCGTTGCAGTCCTGCTTCCAGCTGTCGTTGGCGATGCAGGCCTTGGTGATGGTGGGCCCGGCTGCAACATCGGGCCGTTCTAGAGGCTGCATCCTAGGTGCGCCCCTGTCGCCCTGCGCCTTCACCGAGATGGGCGTACTCACCGTGGACTGCCACCAGCGCCGCCACCGCCAGCACCCCGGCGGACACGATCCACTTCATGGCGAACTAGTGCACCAACAAGGAACCCGTTGTCGCTTGACGCGGCGACTCAACGAATGCTGAATGGTCTGAGTCGGACTGAGGAGGAGACTGAGCTGTTCTGGGCTCGGCGATCACGGCCACACTCTGAGGTCCGGGGCGTCACTCAGCGCTATATAACGAGACTGTTATGTTGTTGCTCGCTTCCTCTGCCGGCCGGCTGGGGGGCTGGGGGGCTGGGGGGCCCGGCCGGGTCGAGTCAAGCCGCGAGGAGGCGGAGGGGGCAAAAGGAGTGCGCTTCGCGGAAAGCTCGGATGGGCGTGATTTCCTTCACTCTGGGCCAGCGCCGGGCAGCGCCGTCGTCACGTCGAGTGTCGAGGCGGCCCGCCCCGCCAGGCACGCCGGCACGCCGCGGCGTCAGTGCCGTGTTTACGTTTACGCAGAAAGGGGGGCGCGACCAAACACAGCCGGGCTTTGTGCGTGCGGCCTGCGGCCGGTGCGTGCGTGCGCCTGCATACACGGGATAGATAGCACTCGGGGACTTCCCTCCAGTGCCCCCGCGCCCCGCGGCTCTCCCACGTGACAGTGTGGCGGTGAGCACCTGCGGGTTCACCTCCGCAGTCGAGATGGCTAGGCAACCCCACGCGGCACACCGCGCTGGCGGGCCGGGGAAGTCCCCGCCAATTCGCACCGCCGCCACTACCGCCGACCAATGACGAAGCTCCCTTTTGGCGGGAAACTTTTGAAGCGGTGGAATGTGATTGGTCACAGTCGCGCTGTACACTGTACCCGCGGCGCGGCGACTCGCCCAGTGTATTTATTGTACAGCGCGGCCGAGTTCATCGGTTGACCGAGTACCCCGAGCGCTTGTCGTCACGTTCACGACTCCAGCCACCTCGGCGCTCTGCAGGACAGGACAAGGAGACCGAAGGAGACGGCTCGGTCTCGCGGGTCTCGCCCGGCCTTGCATGGCCTTGGCGAGCTTCGGTGTGCCGGGATGTGTTCGTGCATGCATTCCCGGCATTCCCTCAGGAGCGACGCCCGCATTAGCGCCTGTGTGTGTGTGTTGACCATTCTCTCGGGTCACCCCTATCCCTACTGCCGTGCTCGCCAGAGCGCGTCTGTACTATTCGCACAATCAACTTGCATGGGGACATTCGGGGATGAAAGAAAAGATATTTTGGAAAAATAATACTTTATCAGACTATAAAATTTACTGAAACATACCATAGCTCCATGATAACAGTTTCATAATGAAGATTGACAAACTTATTGTGCAGACCTTGCCACTTTTAAAAAATGTGTCAAGAACACGAAAACCCATGGGCACTTGAGTTTCAAATGCCTGGTACAACACACATGACACATCAAACACACACACACACATCACGTTTGTAGCCACAAACGGAACACAGTGATTAAAACAATAAAATTTATCACAACTAAAATAATACTATAACCCGATTCAGCTCAGGCACGACCATAAAAATATAGTCATCTCAACTCAGGTTCATCTCAACTTAAGGTTACAAATAAAAAGTAATAGAATAATTAATCAATAAAATTATTAACAGAACCATATTTACACGGCCCCTTTAGGACTCTACTTCAACTCATTCTCCAGTCTTAATCTCAATTTTGGCTCAACACAAATCACAGGCAGTTACATCCAACAGGAAAAATCCAAGATATTTTAAAAATAGCAACAAATAAATATAAAACGATCATCGTGGATTCGTTAGACGTTCCCGTTCCAGCCGAGCGCGACGTGGGCGATCATCAAGTAGACCGTGATGGTGAGGACGCTCACGACCACGACGGGGAAACCGACCCTGGAACAAACACAGAGACCATCAGGCAACGCACACAGTGCAGTCAAGTTCCCGGAACATCATAGGCGTCCGCGCGAGGGGAGAACTGAAAAAATGATGATAGAATAAATGGAAAGCGCGCGATAACCCGTTGCCCTAACGATATCGCGAGGCATGGCGACGTGACGCGAGGTGAACAAAATCGACAAGTCTTTTCCCGACGATAACCGCGCGGCCCGCCGTCCCTGAACAAAGATCGTTCAAAAAGTCACTTTATTTTTCGTGCCGTCCAAACAGAGGTGTTGACGCGGGCGTCATTGGGCACGCCACAAAAACGCTGTCCGAGAGAAAGGGTTTCCCAACCATGGCGAAACCAGTGGACAAATAAGTGAACAAATACGCGCATCGTGGGGAATGCCGCCTTACTCACTTGAAGAATTGGACGAAAGTGAATCTGTAGCCGTGCTGCTCGGCCACTCCAGCGCAGACCACGTTGGAAGACGAGCCAATCAGGGTTCCATTTCCTGTCAAGCAGAGCATGAATTTGATGAGGTCTCACCAGAGCCTTTCCAAAGCAGACAGGCAGCTCACCTCCAAGACATGCGCCGAAGGCGAGCGCCCACACGAGGGGCTGCAGGGGCAGGGACAGCTCCTCGTTCTGCGCCAGCGACACCACGATGCGCACCATCATGGTGGTCAGGGGGATGTTGTCCACGAAGGACGACGCCAGCGCCGACACCCACAGGATCAGCAGGATGGCCATGGCCAGCTGGTAGTCCTTGGGCACGGCCAGGATGAGCGACTCGGTCTGCTTGCCGATCCACTCGATGAGCTTGAGCCGCGACAGGGCCTCCATGAGGACGAAGAGCGCGGCGAAGAACAGCAGCGTGCTCCACTCGACGCGCGCCAGCACGCCCTCCATGTCCTGGTCGGCCAGCAGCAGCAGCAGGATGGCGCCGAGCAGCGCGGTCCAGCCCAGCGACAGGTTGAGCTGCGGGATGGAGTGCAGGAAGAAGAGCACCACCACGAACAGGATCGTCAGCCCGGACTTGAGCAGCAGCATCTTGTTGCGGATGGGGTACTGCACAGACAAGCCACGCGTTAGGTTGCCCACACTGCACAGGCACGCAACTGTGCCACAATTTGTCATCGGGGACAGCTTCACACCTTGGCCTGCAAATCCTCGAGGGTGGCTTTGTAGTCCTCCACGGCAACACTGCAATCAGAAATAAACGTCAAGGCTAGTGTTTTCGCCCACATTTTGCTTTCTACGGCCCGCATTGCCAGCGGATCTCTCGTCTCATGCTGGCAGGCAGAGGAGTCGGGCGGGCCGAGCCCCCGGCGAGTAGGCAACACCTATGCACGCAAGCGTGGAGACGAAGAAGTTGCCTACGCCGCAGGCGCTACGCTGCGCGGCGCGCTGCAGGCTGGGGCTGGCCGCGCTGGCCGCGCCTCCCGGGCGACTCGCGATTCGATTCGATTCGATTCGACTCGACTCACCTCCCGGACACCACCTTGCGCTGCAGCTCCAGCACGAGGCGGCGGGCCTTCTTCAGGAGCGTCTCCCTCACGGAGTCCTCGTCGCGGGAGTAGGACGACAGCGAGGCGGCGGCGCGCTGCCAGATGGCGATCTCGTGCCGAAGCTCTGCGGAAGAAATAAAGAGAAAACGCTCAGTCCCAGTATTCGAACCCGAACCCCAACCGGCGCGACGTGGAACACGCACCCTGCACCTCCTGCGGCTCGGCGAAGCGGAAGTCGTTGACGTTGCGGAAGGTGAAGCGGAGCTGGATGTTGACCACCACGAACACGATGAGCGTGCCGATGCCCATGTGCAGCGTGAACACGCCGAAGTCGACGCCCTGCGAGTCCAAAGGGCGGTTACTCAATGCGGTCGGCACACTAGGGAAAGGGCAGCCGATCAAGCTGAGTTCGCATCGCTCACCGCCTTCACCACCTCCTTGTGGGAGGCTAGAATCACGTTCGGTGGGTCGCCGACTGGGGTGATAGCGCCGCCGATGTTGGAGTAGATGATCATGGACATGAGGACCGGCACCGGGTTCAGCTCCATCACTTCACATAGCCTGCAGAGGAAAAAATGTATCAGCAAAGAAAATAACGCAATACTTAGAGCTCGCGGGTGGTTGAACCAGGATCTCCATGACCTGATGGACACGGGCGTCATGAGCAGCACCGTCGTCACGTTGTCCAGCACCATGGACAGCATCACCGTGAAGAAGCACAGGGTGTTGATGAGCGGCCAGATCTTGCCGCCAGTGATCTAAAGCAAACATCGACAATGATAAATTTTTTAAAGTTCTAGGAACAAAACGAATCAGCTTAGACCGTACCTTGTACGCATATACAGCCATGTAGTCGAAGATGCCGGTCTCAGAAAATATGGCCACCAACACCATCATGGAGAACAACAAGAGCAGGGTCTCCACGTCGATCCACTGCACTAGCTCCGCCATCGAGGGCCTCTAAAAATGCAACGTTAAGAAATAGTAAGAACAATGAATTAGAAAAAAAGTAGAAAATATCACAAGACACCCACTTCGTTGAAAGCTGCAAGAATCGCCACAGACATTGTGGATGCTATCATCGCTGCCAGCGTACGGTGCACAATCTGGAAAATACGAATTATAACAGACACAAAACATTGACGATAAAAATGACAAATTATTGAACAAGACAGGGTGGCTAGACTGACCTCAAAAATGACCATGGCGTAAAGTCCGACCAGCACCACAGCGGCGTACACGACGCCGTCCTCCAGGGTGATGGGCGACGTGTCGTAGCGGATGGACACTGGGAACGAGATGTGGAGGTTCGTGTGCATCTGCAGGCGGAGCAAGCTGCGAGGAATACTCCTGCGAGGCAACAAATTCAAATTAAAAACTTCAGCAGCACAAGAGAAGTGAAAAATTTAAATCATCTCTAAGATAATCAAAATTGCCACAGGTAAAAACAGTAGACTCAAATTTAAACGGAGACTTACGCGATTTCGAAGTCGTCCAGGTTGAATTCGTGGTCCTGCTCGAGCTTCGGCACGCCGTCGATGGACTCGGCGGACACCAGGGGGATGCGCCAGGGGGCGGTCAGGTTCTTGGTGAACAGGATGTCAGTCTTGTTGATGTGGAGCGACACGTTGCTGCGCTGCGCCTCCGTCAGCTGCATCTTGGTCTGGATCAGCTCCACCCACACCTCCATGAAGGACTCGGTGAGGTTCCCGTAGGCCGGCGGCAGCAGCGCCCCGCCTATCGTCACCGCCACCTGGTTCTCGGTGGGCATCTCGTGCATCAGGTAGCCTGCGGCCGAGAGTCAAGGAACGCACAGCAGCAGTTGGAGCCACACTGCCAAGAGAAATTTAGGAAACTTGCACAAAAAGGATACTTTTAATTTGATTTTTCGGCACCGAAATTTGATGGTTTTCTTGTTCGCGCTCTCTTCTAGTCATTAAAATCCACTGAAACAGAATAAAGCAATTTTCCTTAAGAGACGATTTTGAAAAAAAAAATTAGCAAGAATTATGCCCAGGCTTTGATAGTAATCTAACCGTGAAAATGGTCCAAGTGATGAGGAGAAGCAGCATCCTGACCCAGCGTATCCACGGCCGCATGGACTTCTCCCCCGGCATGACGTGGTGGTGCAAGCTTTCGTGCCCATGGCTGTGCCCGTGTCTGCCAGGACACATGCAAACGAAAAAAAAAAACACTTAAAATGATTTCACTCTTATTTAAAAAAAAAACCACTGCGTTCGGTGAACGACCGCTTAAAAATTCTAAGAAAAAACACAGCTGAAGGTTAGTACGCACTTCCCCCGGCTGGCGTGCAGGGACGCCGCCACGGACACGTTGGAGAGGAACTCCTTGCCCTTGCCGCCAGTCCCCGCCTCCCCCAAGTCGTCCGGGAACGTCAGTCGCGGCGTCAAGTCGCCCTCCTCGGTCACGTCGCTCAGCTCGCTCGGCCTGGAGACACCCGAACCGAAAAGACTGTAAAGTACAGCCAAGGACCGAAAATGAAGGCAGAGGAAGCCGGTCGCCGCGCGCCTACCTGGACAGCCCTGCGCTGGTCCCGGGCAGGCTCGCCTTGAGCTGCACCATGGTGGGGTCCTTCTTGACGTGGTCCGGCAGGTCGTTCCACAGGTCGAGCATGGCCGTGGACAGCCGCGACCTGCACACCAAAACAAAGTGAGCCACGACGCCAGGCCGAGGCCGAGGCGAAGGCGCACCGCTGCACTTACGGCGACGTCGTGTAGCGGGTGGAGGAGGGCAGGTCATCGTCCAGGTCGTCCACTCCGCGGTCCCTGGTCCGCGCTCTCGGTCTCGATACAAACTCGTCATCAGACGACTGCTTGCCCCACATCACGGGGCGGAGCGCGGAGCGGCGAACTGTGTGCGCGACCAGGGATGGAGGCGTCGCTCTCACGTTCGGGGCCGCTTAAAAAGTGAGGCTAGGCTAAACATGCTCTCGCGGGCGAACCAATACACTGGTTCTCACACACACCGCTGGGTGACGTCACGGAATCAGATACGAGAAGGGATGTAAACAAAGGGGCGGCTGCTGTCATGGCCGTGGGAGGTGACACGCCATGCTTGGCCATGCATGGCAGGTACTCACCGATCACGTGTTGGCTGCGGAATTGCTATTTTCTCTTTCACGCTCTTCAATACCCTCCACGACGAAAATAAACGACGAGTTGTCAAAACCGGAGCACTGTCCTGCCACGCCGCGTCGCTGGATCGGAGAGGAGGCCCTGCAGGGCAGGCCGCGAGCTACGGACGACTGTCGTTGTCGGGGAGCGACGGCTTGGCTCCGCAGCTCCGGCGGGAGTGGCCAGTGGCCGTCGACCGAAGCGCCCCCTTCCGAGCCGAGACGGCAGTAGACGAGCAGACGCCAAGCAGACGCCAAGCAGACGCCGTGTAGCAGATCCCGACAACCCCGACCCTTTCTGACCCAAATAAAACTCGTAACTGCGTATTACAAACTATATATTTTATCGGTATATTTCGGCTGCTCATTGCGACGCCGATCCTGGTGAGGTAACGTGAATTTGACTCGAAGAGACAAGTATGACTTTCCCGGCCATGAAGTGCATGGCGGGTCACAGTGGTTCACAGCCCCCATGAGGCCATGAGGCGGTCGTAGTACGCGTCGCTGACTCTCGTCTGCTCGTCGGGCTGCTCTGGACACCGCGCGTCCCTTGCGCGGCCCGTCGCCGGCTCCGCGGCGGACTCGACGTGCTGCCCCGCGAGGTCCGGCAGGTCCGGCACCGGGACGACCGTCAGAACGTCGTCGTCCTGGAGGAGCGACGGCCGCTTGGAGCTGAGGGACGGAGATGGCGGCGGGCACACTATCTCTGCGGGAGTGCCAGTGAGAGTGAGAGAGAAGGTCGGGAAGGTGGCGAAGGGGCGGCCAGGCCTCGGCCAGCCGGTCGAGGCGTTGGCCAGCTCACCGTCGCCCTGGCCGTAGCCATACAGCTTGCGCAGCAGGGTGATCTTGGCGAGGCGCTCCTTCTCCTGCACGGAGAGCTTCTTTTTGGCGGCGACTGTGGCGGTCGCTGTGGCGGTCCAGGAAGCCGCCGCGCTCAGGGCGCCTGGGGCGGTGCCTGGGGTGGCTCGCTGGAAGGGGGCGCGGGCGTTAGAGTGTCGTGCGGCGCTTTGCGGCGTGCTCCACCGAGTGCTGCCGGGCGTTGCCGGCTACCTTGGCGGGCCTGCGCTTGGCGGCGGTCCTGGCCACGCCGCCCCTTGGCACGCCCCTGGCGGGGCAGCGCTCCGGATCGAACAGCCCCAGGTGGCAGTGCCGCCAGTCGTTGTTCTCGACGCGCTTGTAGGAGGCGAACAGCAGGCAGCACACGCTTTGAGACCGGCACCCGACGCAGCCTTCGGGACAGAGCGCGGGTTGTGTTATCCGTCGATAGCAAGGAGCTCGCTGGAAAGGCGAGAGTCTCACCTCGGGCGCATAACATGGGGCTGGAGTAGCTGATGCTGCGGGCGGCGGGGGCGGCGGGGGCAGAGCGCGCGGTGGTGGTCCCCGCGGCAGCCGTGGCGTACGCCGCCGCCCCCGCACCGCTGCAGTCAAGGAGGCGCCCGCAGCAGCCGCGGCACACGTCCACGACCGGGCGGCGCGTGAACATCTTGTAGACCAGGACGGGCAGCAGGGAGGAGTCATCCCCCGCCAGCCTGCGCGACACGCTCGTTGCAACAGTAGCTGTCTCTCTCGCACTCGTGGGGCGTTCCGCGTGGGTGCGAGAGAGACAGAGCGACGAAATGCTGTGTCAGGTCGTCAGTGGGCACCCTACCCTACAGCCTGACGCTCACCTGAAACGCACCACGATGTCGCTGGCCGCGTCGGCGAGGTGCGCCTCCCTGGGGTTGACGGACTGCAGCGCGCCCCGCGTCCCGCTGGCCGCGAACTGGCGCACCACCTCGCGCAGGTGCAGGAAGGCGTGGCGCAGGACGAAGCGCCGCCACGCGGCCTGCAGCACCGCGGCGGCCCGCCACTCGCGGCCCTCGCGACCCTCGCGGCCACAGCCAGCCGAGACCACCGGGCTGCTCCTCAGCCTGCGCGGCCACAGGCGAAGCATGGCGAAGCGTGGGGTCAGCAGAAGCAAGGGCCAAAGGGCCGCCCTCCACCTGGCCGCCTGACCTGCGCACGGCGTTGATGTTGGCGCGCAGCAAGCTGCAGCCCCTGCCGCGCGACACGTCGGCTGCCATCCGGCTCCGCATCCGCTCCAACAAGCCCGACTTGCACGCCCGCCTCGAACAGCCCTTCAAGTCCCCGCCATCCCCGCCAGAGGCCGCGTCGGCGCCGGAGGTTTTGCCGGTGGATTTACCGGGGGTTACCGGCGACCCCGGGGCGTTGTTGTCGCCCCCCGCTGCATCCGGCTGCACGCGTCGGAAAAGCGGAAAAGGGTTGGCGACGCCGGCGGCGAGGGAGACGTAGTTCGAGCGCTGTCTGCTCCAACCTGTGTTTTCATGGCAGCCAGGCGACCGCACACGGCGCCGACGGCATTCACCGCCTTCTCCTGGTCCAGCTCCTCGAGGAAGCGGTCGTGGTCCAGGTTGAGCACGGAGAAGACGCCGTCGTCCGGCTCCTCGCTGGCCAGGCACAGCCACAGGTCATCGGGCGTGCTCGCCGGCGTCGGGGCCCACACCGTGGACGCCGCGGTCATGGCCATGGTCATGGTGGTGCTGCCTGCCAACAAGCCCCGCCTGGAGACCACGTTACTCCAGCAAGGGCCATGATGGTGCCAACGCAGGCCCTGCTCTGGCCACGCGGTTGCAGCTGTGGGACGGGTTGGGATCGACCCTCCGGCCGTCACCTTGAAAGACTTGAGAGCTGCCGCCCACGCCGTGACTGTCCAGCCCCCGGAGCGGTGTCGTCGGCAAGAAAGACATGAGTGACATTTGTGTCCGTCACGCGGCCCAACGCGCCAGGCGTCACTTCCGTGACGTGACGCTGGTGACGTGTCTTCGGGGTTGCCGACGGCTCGCGACGTGGTTCGTGCGCGTGCGGGTCCTGGACGTCGTGGGCGTCTTGGACCCCGGGGCCTTCCCTGCCTGCTGCATGCCCCCGGCCGGCCAGCCCGCCGACGCCCCGGACATGGAGACGAAGCCGAAGCGGGACGCCGGGCCGCTCCCTTCTGGCCGCCCGGTGGAAATTAAGGCGCGCTTGTCCTTGATTCCCTCCGATCGGCTCGGCCTTCGGCTTTCGCTTTCATCCGCGGCTTTCGTTCTTGCCCGCGGCCCCGGCCCACCGGCCTAGCAGACGACATTCTTGTTGACGTCGTTTGACAGACGCGGCTCGATCCGTTTCCGGCCACGTAAATATGGCTGCCTACCGCTGAAACTGTAGTGTTGTTTTGATCTTGAGCAGAAAACGTCGCGGTGTATATAATTTATTTCTAGTTGCAACTCAGGGCGGCTTTAGGGACAAAAATGTTGTCATATAATTATCTAGTATTTTGTCTTGTAGTAGTATGCTCATTCATTTCGACGAAGGCCGTAGAATTAACCTTCGAATTGCCGGACAACGCTAGGGAGTGTTTTTATGAAGAAATTGGAAAGAATGTTTCTGCCACTTTAGAGTTTCAGGTTCGTTTTTGTTACCTAGAATGTTTTAAAATCGTTACCTCTGCTTTTGTAAAATTTTTGGCCCTTTGTCAGTCATTTTTAATCAACCTAACCTCAGTCATATGGTAGCAACTGTCACAACATTATCCAAAAATTTCTACTAAGTCTTCACTATTTAAATGTGCTTCTGGCTTCAAAGTTAAAAAGGAATGGAGTCTTGATGCAAATTTAATAGCCGTGTTAATTCCATGGTGGTTATTGTGCTCTGGACAGAATAACTGTGCCTGTAATGTGTCTTTTTTGTCCTTTTACTTATCTTTTGCTGGTGTTGATCTGATTGCAGGTAGTGACCGGTGGCCAGTATGACGTGGATGTTACTCTAGAGTCTCCAACCAAAGAAGTACTTTACAGACAAGTTAAACAACAGTATGACAGCCACAGATTTGTAGCCCCAGTAGCTGGAGTATACGCTGCCTGTTTCTCCAACGAATTTTCCACATTTTCCCATAAATTAGTTTATGTGGATTTCCAAGTAGGGGATGAACCTCCACTACTGCCTGGCATGGGTGAACATGCCACTGTAATGACGCAGGTACATATCTGTTTGATTTCAACAACCTTATTCTGTGTATAGTTAAAAATGTAACAACAATTTACATGTTTGGTTTATTTTCAGATGGAATCTTCAATTAACGAAGTACATGAAAGCTTGAAGAAAGTTATAGACTACCAGACACATCATCGGCTGCAGGAAGCGCAAGGCCGCAAACGAGCAGAAGATCTGAATGAAAGAGTGCTGTGGTGGTCATTATTGGAAACGGTGGTGATTGCTACAATTGCCATTGGACAGGTGGTCATACTTAGAAATTTCTTTTCAGAAAGGAAGCCTTCAATGATGTCATACAACAAAATGTGATTCTACCTGTAGTTTTAATTTGAAGTCCAATAGTTTAATTGCTGTTTCAAGTCAGCTAACCCAATTTGACTGGTACAACTTTTTGAAAATATTTCTTATACCCATTAACAATATACCATGTTTCTTTTTTTGTGTGGTTCTATATGTGCAAGCATCTAAGGGATGATTGGGAAAATTTTTGTTTTAATTAATTGTTGAATGAGCTGAAATGAGCTATTGGTTTAAAATTGTTGAGATTTTGGAAGTTCAAGTTGCTTGGGTGTCTTATTGTTATATTTTCAGTGAACTGGGCCTTCAGTTTTAAGACTGAAGGGTGTTGTATTTTTTTTTCTTTTTAGATAAGTAATCACATTGTTCCTTGAAAGAAAGGATCTGTCTGAAACAGATTGAGTGAAAGCTCTGTTGCACATCTCATTAGAAATTTGCCACCATACCTGTTGGCTTTTCTAAAATAGAGTATTATTTCTGCTTTCAAAGACCTTTTCTTTTCAATGGTTGTGAAGTACATTTGTATGTATTTGACTTTGTGTATAGTCCTGTGTCATTATCACTCATGCTAGGAATCCATTACCTTTGATGGTACAAACCACTTCTCATTCATTGTTTTGTTTTCCCCCCCCCTGTTTTGGCCCTTGGTGACTTATTTTTTTAGGGTGGACTGCTTTTTTCCCCCTGACATTTTGAGCGAGTGGAAGAGTCTGTAATATAAGTATATTTAAAACTATAGTGTGTTCAGTTAATTTTGGGCTTTAAAAACAGTGGGGTGTCTGTGGGCTGAAAATAAATCTATTCCTGAGAGTATTGTTGTTGTTATGAGCCCACCAGTTCCTTAACCACACACTGAAAGATTCTCTTCTTGAGTTAGCCAAACTACTGTGGTCAATTTGAAGTTTTAAAAATAAATTAGAACTGTTAATGAAAATAAGTTTATTTTATTAAGCAAATCACTGTGCACAATTTGACATCCTACTTAAACTATCCTCAATGTACTAAGAGAAACATAATGATAACAATTTTTTTTATCACAAAGAAAATCCCCCACAAAATCAAAGAAGCTCAGATATTTTGATGGTCTTCCGTACAGCATTGTTGTAACCTTCCTTGAAGTGGAACCAGATATCTCCTTTTAATTCAGCTTCACTGTTTGCTGTAAGGATAAATAGACCGATTAAGAAACTCTTTAGTCAAGTAAACCAAAGACACATTTGAAGTCTACTGTAAAAATTGTACCTTTAACAGTGGATGGACTTAGTGTGATATCCACAATTCTTCCAAAGAAATCCTTTGTTTGCTGGAAACAAAAAAAGGAAAGAAAAACACAATTTGCCAAGGTTCTGTTGTTTTAAAATAATACGGTTATTACAGAGGAGCCTTCTTACCAGTTCTTTTAGAACAGGTTTTGCTTTTAACTTTCGCAGGTGATTGGGAACATTTGTTGGAGAGACCTTCTCCTTGGATTTACCTTCCAACAAACATGAACTATTAGTAATAACAAGACAACTTAAATGTGCAAATGAAATTATGACAGGAAAATAATGCTGCATACCAGGCGCTTCTTCCCTGGGTGCATTTTTGGGAGGACTTTTATCCTGTGGAATGCTTGAAGGTGTTTGCACGCTTTGGGCACTGGTGAACGCCATTTCAAATCGCCTCATTTTTTCCATTTCTATTTCTCTTGACAGCAGTTGTTTAGTGCCATATGATAGGGTCCTTGGTGGTTTACTTTCACCAAAGTAAACAATTTCTTCAATATTCCTTGAGTACAAAACAGAGGTTCAGGAGATAAAATTCAGATCAGATTCAAAATTTATACCAATATATCCTTAGATTACTTACGGATCTAAATTACACACGTAAGTACCCTCGGGGGTACGCTCTTGAACATATGTCAGATTATAATCAATCATAGTGGAAACAACACTGCAAAAATCTTTCTTTTCTTGAGAGCTGTACAGTTGAAGGCTAACCTGACGGGTTTCGCTTTACATTAGTTACAAAATAAATGAAAATTGGTAGGAAGGTATAACAATAGCATGCAGTACTTACTGGTCTGAAATTGGGAACAATTACATCCAGAAGGAGAGGTAAAATTTCCATGATCAATTGGGTTTCATTACAGTTGACTCTTACAGATGGAGACATACCTTTGACCAGTTCCCCAATAATTTGCTTTGTGTGACCTTCTTTCACAGATGCCTACAAATTTTAAAGATGGAATTGATTCCTGAGTTATAACGGAAAGCGCTCATTGGTACCAAAAAACTCTTACCTCGTAAGAAGCATTGGGATAATTTATTTTGGGCCATGCCAAACCAGCATAAAGAATATGCCACACAGCAAAGGCATAAGACATGTAAGGCATTAAAATATAATTTTGTGATGACAAAATCTCAGTGTTCAATAAATCTACTGAAGAAAACCAATCTAATCCTTTCACAATCTGAAAAGACAAAAAGTAGTTGAGTAAGTAAATAAAAAGTGATGAAAGAATAAGTATTGATGGAGTACTCACTCCATTGAGTGATGAATCCCTAAGTCTCATGTTTGGGTAATTCTCAAACACTCCTTGAGCTAGACGATTATAGTCTCCATGACTCTGCACAGTGTTCAGTACTCTCTGAATTCTGTAAGACCAGATTTTGGTATCAGCACAAGCAGAAAGGAAGAGCAACCTGAGTCAAAGTTTACATTACCTGGCAGCGATGGCAGAATCACCACTCTTCATCTCAGGGGTTTGGTTACTTGAATTGGCTTTGCTTCTGGCAACAGCATTGGCTGCAGCTTGAGTAAAACCACTAAAAAAAAAAAGAATAAAAATTTTGCTAGACTGAAACAAATTTCTAATCCCAAGCAAATTGGGTATTTTCTGACATACCCCTTGCTCCGTTGGATTTGGAATACTTCTTGCCAAACTGAGAACAATCCTCTCTGAATATCTTTTTGGCCTACATTTGACTGGTGAATGTCACTTAATCTCACAGATCTATTCTGTGACTTAAAATAATGCAGCAAAGAGAGGCATGATCGTATATCATTTTGTGATTTTTCACACAGTGCTAACATAGCTCCCAAGTCAGTTTTGATACCTTGTTTCCGTGATATAGTCATGAGTCTGGAAGCTAGCCTGTTGTATACGAAAATCTCGTTAATGACAAAAACCATGAACGCATAATAGCACTTACACAGAATGAACGTGCCTTTCTGATGCTGTGGGGGGGAAGTGAAGAACAAATGCTTGCTGACGCAAGGAGCGGAGAGCAGGGACATATGGGTCGTTGCAAATGCAGATAACAGGGCGCTTTAAAATTCCAGGACCTGCATCCTTCTTCTTTCCCTTTCCCTTGCCAACATTCTTACCTGATACAAACTTAATGAGGGTCTCAATTGAAACCTGGTCAATGTTTTAAAAAAAAGAGGAAAAGAAAAAAAAACCAGGGATGCACATTACAATTTTATCTACAACCACATGAACATTATAAAAAAAGCAATAAGCAGTTTTTACCGCTGGAGCACCATCGATTTCATCCAAGACCAAACAGTTGGGTCTTGGCTCTTTGCCCATAACTGATTTCATCTGAGTTGCAGCTTGCAGCTGAGTATGAAATGCTTCTGGTGTTCGATCATCACTAGCATTTACTTCAACAACATTGTAGCCTACAAAACAGGAGTTTGAAGAGTTAAAAGTTAAGGCAATACTATTCAACAAAAAACAAAAGAAACTTGGAAAATATTTTAACCTGCTAATTTTGCAACCATGTGAGCAAGTGTGGTTTTCCCTAGACCTGGAGGCCCACAAAGCAGTACCATTTTGAACTGAGGTCTTCCATGCTCATCTAATTCATCAGTTAAAACTTGCCCAAATGGCTTTTTCTGGAAACGCTGATCTGGGTGGACACAGTTTAACACATTACATACAAATGGTAATTTTGCTCTAAAAAGCTACTTGAAAATATAAACACTTGCTTACTCTTTTTATCTTCTTTAACAGCTTTAACATGTGTTTTTCTCTCTTTATTGAAAACTACTTTGTCCCATAATTTAAGCCAATGCAGCAAAGTTCTGTTCACATTCTGATGGTTTAGAAATAATCATTACTATAGGAGAACTCAACAGAACACAAACAAAGAGTAAAGAAATAAAAAAAACATTTAATTACCTCTTCACTTAAGAGCTCAGCATAAGAGGTTGGTTTGTATTTAACTACCCACAAATTATTGTTGCCGTCATGAGTTTTACTTGAGGCAGATTCAGAAGTTTCTAAAGTCTCCAGTTCTGCCACCTGAGCAGCTATGATAGATTCTTGCTTCTCCTCTAACTAAAATACACACACACAAGAAAAGTAAAGAATTATGTCTTCCTCACAGTGAAATACACAACAAGTAATAAATCATTACTCACAATTTTTAAAGCCTCATCCTTCAGAGATGAAAAGCTACTCCTGAGGAGCCCACTTTGACCTCGCTTGTGGGAAACTTTATCGCACTGCAAAAGAACATTTGTTAGCCTTCACCAAACATAAATCATCGGTTAATGCATTAATTAACAAGCTTGTGAAAATGACCTGTTCATCCATGTACTCCTCAGTTCTTAATCGAACATAAACACGATCTCCTAATTCACTTGTGACAGAAACAAAGGGCCATTTAGGCACTCCTTTGGTTATAGAGCTGCTAGCTTTCAGCCTAGAATGGTCGAAAGGTTTTGAACTGAATGGTCAATAAAGAAATGATTCAAATAAGATAAATTTCTTTACGTACTTAATACTTGTAGGTGAAGAAATGTGTCCCTGCTGACATTCCATAAACGCTTTCTTTCGCAAATCATTAATGCGGTCAATGAGTTCCATTTCTTTTCCATGACTGGACTCAGGGCCAGGATCTTCATCCAGAAAAAAGGTTGGGTCCACAACTGTCTGCTTGCAAGACCGTTTAGAAGATTTTCCTGTGGCATAAATAAAACATTGATCTTATAACAATTTATCTTTTATGCACAATGAATTAATAAGTAGAACAATTGGAGGGAAAACTCTCTTGAAAGGCAGTTCTAGATATACCTGAGAGATGATGCCCTTCTGCTGCTTCTTCTAATTCGATGTCATCAATGTCACCAAAGATGTCATCAATTGTCCGTTTACGTGATGGCGGTGAAGCGGCTGATAGCTGTAAAAGGGAAGTAAATTCAAAATAGTTTGAAAATCAAGGTCAAAGACATCAATGTGAAAGACAAATCACCTTTTCAACCCCTGAGTTAGCCGGAGTGGATGATATAACATCAGTGATCTGAGTAGAAGAACTTCCACAGAAATCGAGACTCCGACGAACAGTTGGTGGAGCAGGCTTCCTCACCACAGGCTCATTTGGCAAACCTAGAAGTTACAGACAAATCAGACCAAAGAAGAGAATGATGATTGTTGGACTCTAAAGGTTATTTAAGATATTTGTCTTCGTTTCAGTTAAAATGAAGAAGGTAAACATACCTTCTTCCATTTCTTGAAGCATTGCCAATTCGTCGGCATACATCATTTCGAACTCCTCTTCCGGATTTGGAAAGTCTTCGTCCATTTTGACGCGGTTAAAATGTTCTTTCTAACGATTAAAAGTAAGGGTAAACTCGGGCCTCTAAAAATTTTTAACCTACTGCTACTGCACTACTGCTACAGCTGGCCAACAAAACACAATGTTTACTGGTTTACGCGCCGAAAACTGTTACCAACACACCTCTACCTCACCCTAGAAATTTCTCGCCGGTAAGATTGTTGTTAAGAGAATTGAGACAAAACAAAATTGACTTTTTTAAATAGGATTGATAGATTTTGTGAGAGTTGACCAATTTTAGACTTTTGACGAACGTCTTCGAAATCAGACTTTATTATGTTGCAGGTGGCTAATGTTCTCTTATTTACACTCGGGACTATTCACCGCGCACCTGCCGGGTGGCCGTGCGTATAGTCAGAACGAAAGGGGTGGTTAAGTTTCTGGTTGTCGCTGGTTGTGCCAATTTTAATTTAGTTTATATCAAGTGGCTTTATTTATTTTTGTCTTCACCTTATGATTTGCAATGGGATTTTTAGTTGACACTCTAATCATTCTCATTACCCAGGTAATCATCCAACATTTTTTGTTTGCCTTACAGTTGTAACATTTATCATCACCTACCGTCATTGACATGTCAACATCAGATATTGCTGATCACGATTTAATTGTTTTTTGTTTTAGGTTGTTTTCTTTGCTGGAGGCTGGGTTTTCTTTGTTAAACAACTTTTTCGCGACTATGAAGTCCATCATACTCTTGTCCAACTCATATTCTCTGCTACATTTTCTCTTTCATGTACTATGTTTGAGCTTATTATATTTGAAATTGTTGGTGTTTTAGATACAAGGTAACAAGAATTTCCTCAATATTCTTTTTAATTGTCCGTTTTTTGCGCTAATATGTATTTGTTTTGTTTCTTCACAGCTCGCGATACTTTCACTGGAATCTTGGGCTATACCTCATTCTCTTTATGGTTATTGTTATAATACCGTTCAATATAGGCTATTCCATTTTATCAAATATAAGATTTGGTAAGTTTAAGGTTTTCTTGTGACATGTATGAAAATTAAGTGGCTGCATGCTATGTAAATAATTAAATGTGTTGCAGTAAAGAAACAACTCATAAGGCCATTTACAATCCTTATATGGCTGTTGTATATCTACCTATTCTGGAAAGTGGGTGACCCTTTTCCTATTTTGAGTCCAAAGCAAGGAATTTTTTCCATTGAGCAGGGCATATCTCGCATAGGTGTGATTGGAGTGACTGTCATGGCTTTGCTCTCTGGTTTCGGTGCAGTTAACTATCCTTATACATCTATGGCATATTTCATGAGGTAAGACAACATTTCACCAAGGCTTTTCTTTTTGTGTTTCCTTTCTGCTCTAGTAATGAGTTGAGTCATTCATTTTTCTCTTTGTACAGGCAAGTTTCCCCGGGGGATATTCAAGCCATTGAAAAGAGACTGATGCAGACCATGGATTTGATTGTTGTTAAAAAGAAAAGAATTGCACTAGCCAAGAGAGGTGTGCAAGTCCATGGCTCTCAGTCTGGTCCCACCTCACCCTCCATTTGGAACATGTTACGAACAGTCACCAGTAAAGAATCCCCTGAAAGTATCCTTCTTTGTCTCTGAAGTGTACATGTCTGTAAAGGTCTCTGATTGTTTTTAAAGAAGGTAAATTTACAGATTTAGTTTTGATATTTTCCTATTAGTACCTCTCAGCGGATGTAAAGCAACTGAAACAGGATGTTGGAGCTCTAGAGGAGCTCTCAAGACAACTGTTCCTTGAGGCACATGATTTGCATAATATGCAGGAACGTTTGGAATGGGCAACTACTTGGAAAGGAAAATACTTCAACTTTTTAGGGTATTTCTTCTCCCTTTACTGTTTATGGAAAATTTTCATTGTAAGTATCATCATAGCTAGTGAATGTACTCTGTGAAAAATCTATCTTGTTCCATTAAATTTTTTATTAACAAGTGATCATATTCCATTTTCAGTCTACAATCAATATTGTATTTGATAGAGTTGGCAAAAAAGATCCTGTGACTAAAGGCCTGGAAATTGCTGTTCACTGGATTGGACTGGACATGGATGTGGCGTTTTGGTCACAGCATGTTTCATTCTTCCTTGTTGGATGTATAGTGGTGACTTCCATTCGTGGTCTTTTGCTCACACTAACAAAGGTATTTAGTGGATGATGTTCCTTTTAAAACTAGTTTCCAACTTCTGTGAGGTGTAATTATTCTCTTGCTTTCTTTCCAGTTTTTCTATGCTATTTCAAGCAGCAAATCCTCCACTATCATTGTTTTGATCTTAGCACAGATTATGGTAAGTTTTCCGTTCTATGGAGGTATGCCGTCATCTCAAAAAATGTGGTTTACCAGTTTTGCTTGGATTTCTCTTCCACAGGGAATGCACTTTGTGTCATCAGTTCTACTCATAAGAATGAATATGCCTCCTGAGTATCGTGTGATCATAACTGAAGTTCTGGGTGACCTGCAGTTTAACTTTTACCATCGATGGTTTGATGTTATTTTTCTTGTCAGTGCACTTTCTTCTATTGTCTTCCTTTATCTTGCTCACAAGCAGGCACCTTCAGAAAACAGCTAATTTTGTGTGCTGTGTAAGCCCCTTGTGTTTCTGTTATCCCAAGCACTTATGCTTGTGAGGGGTGAAACATCTTCACACAGTCCTGGATGAATTCAGTTTCTTTTGTAACTTTAAGCTTTTACTTGAATGCTCCCATACTAGTGCAAGAATTGTACATGGACTAGAAAGACTGCATGACAGCTAGGTAGTTTTTTAATTTGATTTATATGTGTACACTGACTGTTTGAAGCTTGCTTGTGCTGATTTCTTGGAAAGCCATAGTTTTGATTTTGTCTTGCTCTGATGTGCTCTTAATTTTTGTTGTGTTGTTTGTTTTTTAAAATTGATATTGGTAAAATTTGTGATCCTTTCTTATTGCATTCAAACACAGTCATAAAAAATGACAAAATATTTGATAAACAATTAGTACTTGTAAGTTTGTATTTAAGTACTCTTCTCTGCAATGTTTCTGTGATGCAAAATAGATTTTTATAATGTTTGGTATTTTTATTATGTTTGTTATTTAATTTGAAGAGAACTACTTGTATACCTTAAAAAGGGTAAAGTGCACTGATAGATTAGTTAAGCAAGTATTATTTGTTTTCTATTCTGTTCAGAAAATAAAAAAGAAAAAAAAACTAAACTAAAAACCGAGAGATTCATTTTTTTCATCCCCTCTCATTGCCACTCACTTTGTACAAGAAGTAATGAGGGTTCCTTAGCCCACCCTGAGGACTTCAGATACAGTAGGAATAGGACAGTAACCGGTGTGGGAGAGTTGAAGCGACACAGTCGTACTTTGGTTGGGGCAACGTGGAGGGAATTCCAGAGGGGGGCTGGAGTCTCTGGTGCGCGCACCGCGGCACCGCGCAGGGTGGAAGTCTGGCCCGGAAAGTTGGGCAACGAGTCGATCATCCGCTCCATCCACGGGAATGTTGTGTCTACCGTCTACCTACCCCGCTCCACGACGGTGTGCCTGCTGTGGCCTGTTCATCTCGATTCTCACAAGCGACTCTCCCTGCTGCGAGGGAATGGAGGGAGGAGGGGGAAGCAGTAGAGCCAAAGTCCAGTCTCCCGAGACACTTTACAATTCCATCTCCTCTCCTCCTCTCCGCCCCTTCCCCCAGTGTCCCTCTAGGCGCGTTGTTCTGTTGCCGGTCGAGGACTGCCTCCGAACAGTGGCGCGCCAACTGTCGAAGTGGCGGTACGGCCGGGGCGGCGGAGTGAGCCTGAGTGAGACGCGCGGCTGCCTCGGACGCCGCTCTGCCAGGCTCTGCCAGGCCCCGCCTCGTGCTGCCGTTGGCTGCCGTTCTCTACAGCTCCCCCATCATGACATGTATCTGCATTTTTAATCGTTGTTTCAAGAGTCATTGAAATTTCAGCAGTTCGCTCACTATGCTGCTGTGCGTGCCACGCGCCACGCCTGCCACGCCCCGTCACGCCCGAACGGCGCTGCCGCAGTCGCGGCGCAGGCTCCGGGCTCCAAGTCGAACTTTCATACTTGTCATTAAGAGCGCCGTGCGAGTCAGCAACCCTGCGGGCGGCAACCCCCAACCCCCACCTGCCACCACACCTGCAGGCGCTCAGCCCCGTCCCTCCGGTTCATCCGCTCCTCTCGTCCTCCACCCCCACCCCCTCTCTCTCCTTGGGTGTCTTCATCTCGTTTTCTTTTCCGGCGGGAATCTCGTCTACTTTCCGATTGTGTCGCTGTAACTGTTCCTGTGGCCGCGGGGCAGGGCACGGCGGGGCAGCGCCACGGCAGCGCCACGGCAGAGCACAGCATCGCTCGCCGAGCGTCTATCACACGTCAAATTTAGCCCGTTCGGGGGAGGGGGAGGGCAACCTGCCACACGCTGCGCTGTTAGCTGCGCTCCTGGTGGCAACGGACACGGTGAGCCGGCGGTGAGCTGAAGGTTGGCTGAAGGTGGGCCGTTGGTGAGGTGGATGTGGATGCGCGGCCGGGGCCAGGCCAGGCCAGGCTGACGGGGTGTTGGTGGCGCTGGTGACGGTGTGCTGGCGTGCGGTGCTCCGGGCCTATCCGGGCCCGGAGCACACCAGGGGAACCAGGGGCGTTCCGAGGGCGTTCCGAGGGCGTTCCGAGGGCGTTCCGCTCGCTTGGCCGAGGCAGGACGAGGGGAGGTAGTTAGCCCCACCTGTCCTGCACTAGACGGCCCTCGGGAGCCCTTGGGAGCCGCACTTAATTCCATTATTAAAACCGCTGGACGCCGCCGTACTGTAAGCACATCAGCCAGCCTTGGGCAGGGCAGGGCAGGGCGGCGGCCCGGCCGAGCGGCAATCGCCGAAGCGGCAGCAGGCTGGAAGCACTGGCAGCACTGGAAGGCCGGGAGCACGCCGCCTCAATGAGCAGCATGAGCTGGCGACTGATTTGGCGCTGATTTGGCGCGCAGCGGCGCCGTCGTCGCTGTCTCTCTCGCACCAATGGGGCGTGCGCGCGGTCAGCGCCCTCTCCTTCGTTTTTCGAGTGGGGCGGAGAGAAGCGCCCATCACTTCTTGAAGTTAATAAGTTAATTTCGTTGTATCTCGCTAAGATCATATCAGCGAATGGGTTCGATAGGAATGGCTTGTTGCTGGTAGAGTCCTAGTTGCTGGGAGGGAGTGAATGATTATTCACACTGAACAGTAAACAACTCCTAGCTGCTTTGTGTACGGAGTTTTTCCAGGTTTTTATTCCCATGCAGGCAGACTGTTTCCAGGAATTCCCTTCGTTTCGCGCCACTCGCCAAATTGTTGACACTCCCACGCTCTTCCTTTTGGTCGCTGCTGAAAGATTTATATTTTTGTCGGCAGGTTCTCCTCTTTGCTGGCACGCAAGACGCGCACACAAACAGTGACTTACTCCTCTCACACAGGCACTCAGGTACACACACACACACACACACACGCACACTACAGTTGCCGCGCAAGTGCACGCCCCGCTCGGCTCGGCCCGCAAGATTCCGTAATCAGGTTAAAGCACGAAGGACCAGGAGCTCTAATGGATCTCTCACTAGTAGTGCTGCCCCGCCACTCCGCCCTTCAGCCCCGCAGCCCCGCAGCCCTTCCGCACGATGGCAGCCCGGGGCTGGTGGGGCTGGCGGGGCTGGCGGGGCTGACGGGGCTGAAGGGGGCAGGGGCGCCGCCATCTCGCATTAAAACGACGGAGGGGCAGGCCGACACGGCCGACGGCAGGTAGCGCTGCTAGCTTGCCAGGTGCTCTAATCTGCCGACAATCAAACCGCCAGACGCCCGTGCGCCGTGCTGCCGTACCGCCGTGCCGCGTCGAGCTCATGGATGTAGTGTTCTTGCCTAGCTTCGCCCCGCCTGGCTGCCTATGGCTGCCTCCGCCGCGGTCAGGATGCTGACACTGACATAAGGGGAGGCTTTAATCTGATATGCGCGGCCCGCGGTCGATTCTCGGCGGATGGCCAGGTCGTGGACTGCGGGCCGACGGACAACGCGGAGCAGAGCGCGGCCTCGCCAGCTCAGTTTCCCGGGCCGCCCTACCCCTGACACCTCATGCTGACACAGACTCGATGGCCGTGGTCGTAGGCCTCCTTTGGTCGCGGGTTCAACTCCCTTGGCCGCCGTGGTCCTGTCCTTGCCGCTGCGCAAGTTGGCCATGGCGCAGGCAAAGGGCGTATGCGTTGGCGTTGTTCTTCGGGGGTTTTGTGCCAAGAGTGAAGGGGCCGCGGGGGAGGGGTGGCGGTGGCGGCTGCCGGATTGGCGCAGTGGATTGCGCTGCACAGTGTGCCAATGCTATTTTTCTCCGCCCCCGGCGCTGCAAGGCTCCGGGGCTGCAAGGCCCTTGTAACTGTCCCCCGTGCACGGCGTGGCACGGCGTGGCACGGCGTGCCGTAGTCGCGGCGTGGCAGGGCGTGGTAGTGTAGTAGTCGCAGTCGGCGCTCGTGCAAAATGGAATGGGCCGTCCGCGCGGCGCGGCGCCGTGTTCGCCGGGAAGGCGAACGACGCTTTGCACTCTCGCTGCCGATCACGTCGCCGGACCGACGGCCGCTGTGATCGAAACTGTGCCACTGTGCCCCAAAGCTAGAAACAAACAATCGTCCGGACACCTGCCTTTTGAGTTTTGCAGTCCGCATTCTGGGTTTGTTGCAGGCTTGGCAGTGTTTGGTGAGGCCCAGCAGCGCTGATGATGATTGTGGACGCTGTTCCCCGTATGGGTCCAGTATTACGTGGGTAATCGTAATCGTACTCACTGTCCAGTGCGGTAGTCGGGAGACCTTCCTTTGCAAGCCTTTGCCGGGGAACATGCGCCCAGTATTGCCAGTGCCTCTGCGTGCACTGCGGCGGCAGCCTTTCTTGCGCTCCACCTGCTGCGCGGTAAACTTGCCATCTCCAGGGCGCGGGGCGGGGCGGGGCCGCGGGGGCGGGGCCGCGGGGCGGGACGACCCCTACTTAATTATCGTCTTGATGGCCTGTGGCGGCCCGTGGTAAACGCGGCTTGCACACTGTAGGACCGACCATTAACCGAAGTCGCCTCATTTTTCGGCGCCTCTGGACCCACCCACCTACTTGACCCAAACTCCTCATGCATTTATTACGGGCCTGGAGGCGGCGGGGGCTGTGACACTGTGACGCCAGCCAGGTGCCGCACCGTGACGCCAGCGCGCCAATCAGGCGGCGGGGGCTGTGACACTGTGACGCCAGCCAGGTGCCGCACCGTGACGCCAGCGCGCCAATCAGGCGGCGGGGGCTGTGACGCTGTGACGTCAGCCGCGTGACACACACGTGTCACAGCGTGACGCCAGCGCGCCAATCAGGTGGCAGCGCGCCCATGAATACGAACATGAATATGAATACAAAGTCATCTCCTTTTATGCGCGCGGAATAATTTTTTATTTGCCAGCCTGAAGTGGTGTCCGTCCGGGCGGCGTGGCGTGGCGTGGCGCGGCGCGGCCAGGCCAGCGGGCCGCTCTGTCCCAGGGGTACCAACCCTCTGCGTGCCCGCGGGTCGTTCCGCCGCGTTGCCGCGTTCCGCAGTGGACACAGAAAACCAACATCCCGCCACCAACAGGTCATTCTGTTATAGCCGAGTCATCTTTGCGCAGAGCTAATCCTGCGGCGGCGCGCTGCTGGGGCCGCTGGCTGGGGGGCCGCGATGGGTGGACGGCAAACTGATGCACATAGGTCGAGATAGGTGGGTACATCGTGCACGGCAGCGCCGGCAGCGCCCTTCTGTTTTCCTTCTGGTTTTGCGGGCATCGCCCTGGCGTGGCTGCACGCCGTGCCCCCAGTCCTGGGCTGGGCTGCCTGGTGCTCTAGAGCTATCCGGCGCTACCTGGCACTCCGTGTCGCCAATCGACGCGGCGGCCATGCAGCTATTGACAGGTGCTCATCGGACCAGGATAATCCCTCTGCTCCCCACAGCCAACTACGGCCGGCACGCCGTCCGGCACACCGTCGGGGACCCCGGACACGTGTCCCCCTGGGCAAGGGACACCTGGGGGACACCCCTGCAAAGAGATACTCCTGTGTAAACACCCCACGCCCACAGTGTGCCACACCCACGCGCGATCGCACTCACACAGACTCGCGTCTGTTCTACTAATCCGGTTCCATGCGACCGCCATCCGGCGCGCTTCGCTCCCGTTCGCTCCCCCCTCCCTCCTCCCTCCCCGCGCGCCGCCCTCCT